TGAGCGTCATGGAAGATAAACCCGATAATTATTGTTGTCAATTGAGTGCCAGAAAAAGGTAAAGAGCATTCAGGAAGCAGCAAACCGTTTCACATAGTGAAATAAAGTTGCTGAGTTTTTATAAATTCTTAGATAGAATTTTAAAACATTTAATTCTTCGATTAATATTTTATAAAAAAAATCTAGCTTAAATTTTAGGAAATCTGTAACTGTAAAAACAAAACCAAGCATTTTTTGTCTTTGATGGTATCATATCTCTAGATTCATATATTAGTGTTTAAGATATTGTTAATAGAGCTTGAATGCAAGTGTGAGCTCTAGTTTCGATATTACTTTCGTTGTAAAAAAAATGAACAGCCTAGAAAGCAAGCTGTGGATTCGAAAAGGAGTATCTGAAAACTTTATCAAGAAACCATAAGCGTGGGTATTACAACAACCAACAATTGACCTTTTTAGAGCAATCCTTCGTCCTTTTAATCTAAATATCCCGTGAATCCACTTAAATTGTTGAAGATTAGTTCTCACCATAAACTTTTAAGATTCCAAAGAAAAGCAGATGCTCACCAATCGATAAGACAGAGCAACAACAGCAGCCAAGCCTTTTTAAAATCTGTTATATGTTATTTTGTCACACTTCTCTAGGCAAATAATGTGTTGAAAAGAAAAAATACAGCTAAAGCGTGCAAAAATTTTCAGTACCTTTAACTTATCCTCATATACGTTCATTGCCGCCTCAAACATTTTTATATTGTAATTCTCCAACTAGGAGTAGACCAAAACCACGTATGGCTAAAAGACAGGTATCTAGAATGCTGAAGCATAGATACTTGCTATCCTCCAATGCAACATTTCTGACAAATTCAGATCCACCAGATCATCAATATCTTCTGTGTCCTATATTTAAGAAGATTATAGAAAATTCATTAGATTTATAAGAGAATAAGCAAAAAAGGAATAGAAATGAGATTAGGGAGGCAAGAGATGAAAATATCAGAGCTATTCTGAGCCAGATGCATTTAAAGATGCCTCTATACGCAAATCGACCGATATGATCGAGCGATCGTAGACAATTAGCACACACGGGTTTCCGCCTATCAATAGTAAAACTTTCGGAACATAGAGCAACAGCAATAACAATATGGGGTGTTTGAAAGTGTCTTGTAATTACTTTCATCGATTTAAAAATGGTTTCAAGAAGTTTACATCCAAAAGCCTCCTATCACAGCTCTTAATTGACGTTAATCGTGTATTGTGTCCTTTTCTCGGATCGGCCGATTTAGAACTAAAAACACTTTCAAACCTTATTACGCGCTGACGCTACTATTTACATTATGTAGGAAATAAAGGGCGTCGATGGCATTTTATATTGACAAAGATACGAACTACAGAAAGCTGACGTAATGCAGAAGTGCCAAAAAAAGGAATAAAGAAGCACGAAATCATTGTCGATAAACTGCAAATTTTTATACTTCAATTT